GAAAGTGCAGGATATAAGTCTATAGCTAAGTGCAGCTAACCCACAGGTGCACTGTGCCGTACCTGCAAATCAGTGTGAAAGCAGAATAACCCCCCCCCCCCCACCCTTTTTTTTTTGTTCTCATATATGCCCATTGCTAAACTGTGATGTTTAATAAATTGACCTTTTATCTTTCAGTTCCTGCTGGCATTGCTGAAGCCAGTGCTATAGAGGAAGCATCGGCTTATGCAGCTCCTGCTCCCTCCATAGCCGGCTCCATCCACAATGATGCCGAGGCTTGGCAGTCCCAGAGCAGAAGGTGGCAGGCCACATTAGAGGGCTCCACAAGCCACCGCTTGAGCACCCCTGCCCTGAGCATCACAGGAAACCTTGACGTTTTCAGGTTTTACGGAAACCCACCCCTCTGGACCCTACTGCAAATAGCAGCCATGATGACCTGACACTTTGATGGTTAGTAAGAAAGGTGTCATCTGACATTGCTGGTGAGTGGAAAATAGCCCCTTACATGTGTGACCAAGTTGGTGAAGAGCTTCTCTTCTTCTCTTACATTGGTAGCCAGTGATAGGAAGAATGTCCCCTTACATTGGTGGTCATTGACAAGCATGTTACTTTTGGAAACAGCTAAAAGAGTTTTTTTTTTTTTTTTAATTTATCCAAGAGAAAATGATAGAGGCTCTACTAATCCAAGACCACTGGATCGGCCCAGTTGAGAAATGCTGCCCTAAAGGATCATCATTTGGTTGCAATTGCAACCAGGCTTTCGGAAGAAAACACATCAGATCTCAATGGGAAAAAATATCACGCTGAATGTCTATACTGATATGGACTGGGTAATGTGTTAGGAATGTAAGGATGCCCCAACGAAAATTATCAACCTACAGAGGAGGACTGAATTCAAAGACACACCGAAAATCAAAGTGAAAAAATTATGTACCAGGCTAGTCTATTTTGCTGAAATTTCATTGCAGCAACTCAAAATATGCAAAATGTGCTCCTAATAAGACACTGGATGGTGTCCTGGGGTATTTCCTCCCAGATCTGGTCCAGGGCATCACTGAGCTCCTGGACAATGATGAGCAACCTGGCGGTGTCAGATGGACTGAAACATGATATAGCAGAGGCGTTCTATTGGATATAGGTCAGGCGAGCGTGGGGGCCTTTCAATGGTATCAATTCCTTCATCCTCCAGGAACTACCTGCATACTCTCGCAACATGAACCCAGGACCCACTGCACCAGTGTAGGATCTGAGAGTGGGTCCAAGGATTTCATCCCGATAGCCAATGGCAGGCAGGGTGTCATTGTCTAGCCTGTAGAGGTCTGTGTGTCCCTCCATGGATATGCCTCCCCAGATCATCACTGATCCACCACCAAAACGGTCATACTGAACGATGTTACAAGCAGCATAATGTTCTCCACGGCTTCTCCAAGACCATTTCATGTCTGTCACGTGCTCAGGGTGAACCTGCTCTCATCTGAGAAAAGCACAGGATGCCAGTGGCAGACCTGCCAATTCTGGTGTTCAATGGCAATTGCCAATCAAGCGCTATGGTGCTGGGCAGTGAGCACAGGGCCCACTAGAGGACATCGGGCCCTCAGGTCACCCTCATGAAGTCAGTTTCTGATGGTTTGGTCAGAGACATTCACACCAGTGGCCTGCTGGAGGTAATTTTGTAGGGCTCTGGCAGTGCTCTTCCTGTTCCTCCTTGCATAAAGGAGCAGATACCAGTCTTGCTGATGGGTTAAGGACCTTCTACGGCCCTGTCCAGCTCTCCTAGAATAACTGTCTGTCTCCTGAAATCTCTTCCATGCTCTTGAGACTGTGCTGGGCGACAAACCTTCTGGCAATGTCACATATTGATGTGCCATCCTGGAGGACCTGGACTGCCTGTGCAACCTTTGCAGGGTATCGCCTCATGCTACCAGTTGTGACACTGACCATAGCCAAATGCAAAACTAGCAAAAAAAAAAAACTGTCGGAAAAGATGAGTAGGGAAAAAAAAAAAAAAGTCAGTGGCCTCCACCTGTAAAATTATACCTGTATTGAGGGCCGTCTCATTGTTGCCCATCTAGTACACCTGTTAATTTCATTAACACCAAAGCAGCTGATTGGATCAAAGAAAATCAACAGAGCTTTGCCTCATTTCAGAGCTTCCCTTCAGATGTGAAGCAACTACACTTGCAATGCACAGTAAATTTACCTTTAGTAAATCAACTCCATAGGCTAAAATGGAGGGGAGTTAACAGGCAGAGAAAAGTAAAAGCTCAAAACACCTGTAGGAGCAGCTTCTTTGAGCTGCAATGTACATGAGATCCTAACCTTCCCTAAAAATAAGGCTAAACTCCTGTAAGAGGAAAAAAAAAAAATCTTTAAGCTTACAGCATGCATGGAGCCTAAAACTGTCAAGGCTGGCAAGAGATATGCTGCAGCCAGAAATCTGCAAGTGTCTTTTCCTAGTGCAGTAGAAAACTAGTATATAAAGTATAGTTTGGTTATATTACGCTGCCTAGCTAGTTTATCTGCCTTGTCTGTGTAAACACAGTTAACAATACCTGTATAAACTAGAATTTCAGGAGGCAGTTAGCCCAGACCAGACAAAAGGAGAAAAAAAAAAAAATTGAACACAAAAGAGACATTTTGACCCACAAAAAAAAAAAAAAAAAAAAGCCCAGAATGTTTGGAGTCAATGACACTTCTGTCCTTAAATTAACCACCTATCCTTTGGCGTTTATGGAATCCTATATTAAAAATCCAAAACTTTATACATTCCAATTATCCAGCAAGAAAACAAGAATTAAAAAGGCAATAAAACATTTTTATTTGATATTGCAAGAAAACAGGTTCAAAGCAGAACTATATCCCCACCTCTAAAGAAATGGTTCTTGAGGAACAAAACAAACAAAAACACACATTGAAAATCAATATGGGATAATATGGAGCCCAGAAACCGTACCCTTTTTTTATTTGGTACCTGAACATAAAATAAAAAAAAAAAAAAAAAAAAAAAAAAAAAAAAGGACCAGTGATCCATTCATCACAACTCAAGTCTCCCACACAGTATTAAGATATTACATTTTATGAGGCCACATAAAAAAGGGTTCCATTGTGCTATATTAAGCACGAATCACACTGGAAATTTTGTCTTCGCCTGTTTCCGACCCAACTCATACACAGTACGATCATAAATTTCAAGTTATCAGAACAAAAAGATAGTACCTACTGTGCATCAATCCCATGATCAAGCATGTAAGATTTAAAAAAACAAAAGACACAGACCATAAAACAGTACTTGATACTCTATGTTTACAGACCTTTTACAATAAGTAGCCTGCTTTCCAGATACCATAGGTGAGACTTAACACTATGGTAAAAACTAAAAAAAAAAAATCCAATGATTTATATCAAGCAGTATTTTATGGGTGAAGACCAGACTAACCTCTGGATCTTTTGGCAGCATAAAAATAAGTCTCTGTTCTTTTTTCCCAGTGGATGCTAGATTACAGATGGTATCCCACAATAGCAGAAACATAAAGAAGGCCCTGCTACAAATCTTAGTTCTGATGCTGATGGGCTTATGAGCTGGATGTATACCCAGTCATGTCTAAGTAAATGTATCATATCACCAGCTTTAATTAGGCCAATTCTGACAGAATTTCATCAGCACCACATAGGAAAAGCACTTATCCGAACTTTGGAGTATTCCTTCATTGCACTGTTCAGTCTATATTGCTCAGCAAGCATTAAATGACTATACACACTGACATGTGTTAAGTTCACATGACTCAAATCCTGTACCATAAAACTATCTTTAAAAAGGCATTTGACCTTGAGATCTTAAGCTTGCACTTAGCTTTAAGCCAGAAAAGTCTCTAAACACCCCACCACAAAAGGCAAATTAAAAAGGCAATCAACGAAAGAAAGAAAAAAACAAAAAAAAACAAAAAAACATATCAAGGCAGCAAAAACAACAGTGCCCTCCAAACAAGTCCTGGGCCAGGAAATTCCTGGTCATATGTGCTATATCAGCAGTCTGGACGATCACTAGCTAAACTAATCTTTGAAAGTGCTGCAGAAGTACACAAACAACCGCAGGCTCCGGTGCAATCAGAACAAACCATTTCCACTTTTCCCCAGCAGCATTGTGTTAAATGGCATTTTGAGAGGTGTTTGGAAGTTTATCGAACAAATCCTTGATACTGGAACTGGCAATGGCTGATGTGTAAAAAGGAGTGCTCATAATATTTTGCTGGAATTATCCAAAGAGGAAAAAAAAAAAAGAAGGCTTCATAAACTTTAGCCTGTGGACGCTCTTAAAAGGGCGAAACAATACAATTCTAAATGGGTCACTTGTGTACATCATAAGATCCAGTTATCAAAAGCCGATGTTCTCCATTTTATTACAGTAAGAAACCTAGCTGACTGTCCTAGCTGCTGTGATGAAGGTATCACACACTAACAGGATTAATGAAGAGACTGAAAAACTCCTGACCCCAGACAAAAAACACACACATACATCGGACAGGATACAGCTTAACAATGTTGTCTGGTGATCTAGAAAACCAAAACCCAGTGACCGTTTACACCAAGAAACGTAGAATATGCAGAAACCGTACCCTGAAAAAAGTTCCACGCTCATCTTGTATAGGTTGCACCTTGTGAGGCCATAGTTCAAAGAGCTCCTCCATCTCATTGAGACTAGTTCAAATAAGTCTTGCTCAGTTCTCTTAAGGACGTTACCGTATTAGGTACCTAAAACCCACTCAGGACCACATACCTGAATGTTTGGCAGAATTGTCTAATATTTAGCTTCAGCTGCTTCGTAACCATTTAACATACAGTCATATATTAATGTGGTACAATGATCTGCTGCCTGTTTAGGGTCACCAAGCCCCTCTAATTTTAGAGGAGGAGATTTTCTGCTTCATCGCTGTCGTTTATGAAAAATTACTGGGAAAAAAAGCAAACTAGAAAAAGAAAAACAAAAATTGGCACCCGGCCTCCTATAGCCGGCATAGGCAGAAGAGTGTGGGGATAAACACTCCAAAGGCCACCAGAATTGGAAACATGAGGCTGCTGTTGTCTGAGGCATATGGGTTAGGAGTGCGAGGACCAGACTGTACACGGTTCTTGTTACTTTGTTTCTTTGTACTTGGGCCTTCTTCGTCTTCATCTTCTTCCTCCTCTTCCTTCTTCTCCAGGCCAGGATGAGGCTGCAGTTTTGGCACCTCTGCAAAGAAGAAACAGAATTTAGAATGCAGATTTGCTGTGCAAACAGATTCTGTCAAACAGTGAGTGAAGAAAAGCCTTGGGACAAAAGCACAGAAACTGCACACAGCAGCTGCATCCTTCTGTAGAAACCTATTGTTCTCTATAGTCTTGCTATTCACCAGGTCACATTTAGAACACTCCAGAAAATCATTGGCGCCTTCAGAAGTGCCATTGCACTTAAAATTCTTGCAGGTTTAGGGCCTCTGTCGACAGACCTTTGTTCACTTCAAGTAAGTTTTGAACTTTAGTGGAATGCAAAATCTGCCTGAATTCTAAGGGACCGCAAAATCTACAGTGTTTGTAAACCCATATTTTTTTTTCCCATTTTTAATCAATGAACATGTCATACTTACCTGCTCCATGCAATGGCTTTGGACAGAGCAGACCCCATCCTCCTCTTCTCAGGTCCCCCACCAGTGCTCCTGGCTTGCTCCTCCCACACCCACCCTGTGCCAAGTGCCCCCACAGAAAGCCACTAGCTATGGGGCTCGCTCCCGAGCCGTTCTGTGTGTCCATTGACACACACTGTCTTCTCTCAGCCCCGCCCCCTCCTCACTATTTGTGGTTGACAGCAGGTGGAGTCAATGGCTCTCATTGCTATGTCTGAGGAGGGAGAGAGTGTAGAGAGCCCTTGCCATCATGCACAGCACTGGATTGAGATTAGGCTCAGGTAAGTATAAGGGGGGGTTGTGCTGGTGAGGAGGAGCAGCATGCATAAGGTGTTTTAACTTCATGCTGAGAATGCAACAAGGTAAAAAAACCTTCAGTCTTTAGAACTGCTTTAAATCATGCCAACTGCACCCGTCAATTACTTCTGGCTGATTTCAATAACGTTGATCGGATTGCAATGACGCAAGCCCCAAACCTGTTACCACAAATCCTTGTCAGCATTTTCTCTGCAAATTAGATGTTTGCTGCACTAAGGATATACATTGGGGAACATGGAATATTTCAAACAAAAATAGGCATGTAACTCACCATCAACTGTTCCTTTCATGAGATAAAGTGCACATACTTTGGGGTTATCGTAATATCCCTGAAATAAAATGAGTAAATACTGTTTAATAATGCATCAAACTGTGGGTAATATATTTAAGTGTTACTAAACCCAGGACCCTGCATTCACTATATCTGGTCTCCCACAGTACACACAACATGGAAATGCAATTATTTACCTTTTCTCATCACCAGTTAGAGCTTGTTCACATATATGCAGATTGGATGTGGTTTGAACCGCATCCAATCTGCATGAGAAGTGAAAAAACATTGCTTCCTATGGTGCCTTTTCCAGTGCACTGGCGGTGTGGATTCAGTGTGGTTTTTTAAAAAGAGTCATGTCTGATTTCTGAGCAGTGCAGTCCAGTTCAGGTACGGATTAAGGGCTATTGACTTCTATGGGAACCGTTTCTAAATTGCATATGTGTGAACAAGATAAGATCCTGAGCTGATCCTGTCCTGAACCTGATGTGAACCTGCGAACAACTACTGTATCAATTAGCTGTGAAACCTGAGCTTCAATCCGCACTGCACATGTGTGAATCGGCTCTTAGAGTAGTCTAGTGATTTCTACAGTGTTCAGCCGAGCACTGATTGGAGCTTGCAGGAGGAGTTTTCATTTTGCTCTAGGGCACATGTGTCAAACACAAGGCCCCACTGCCGAATACGGCCCTCCAAGCCATATCATGTGGCCCTTGCACCTCTGCTGCGAGTCTGCTCCCAACTTCTTCCCTGCAGTGGCAAAAGGCAAGAGGGGTGCACTGTGATGTGAAGTGAGAGTGGGGACTCTTGACTTCTGATGGCGGGGGGCTCCGGAAATCTGCTTATAATTATGATAATATTACAATTTGATGACAGTTGAAAAGGAGGATCACACATCGCTGGTATCATCCACGAGAACCTTTATTAGAGACTCCTCAGACAGTACACCATGGCAGAACCATGTTCTGTCTGAGCAGTCTCCAAAAAAAGTCTCTTGCTGATGATACCAGCGGTGTGCAACCCTCCTTGTCAGACTTGCATCATCTGCTACAGGAGTGTGAGTGGGCTCTGTGCTGGACTGCACCTGGCCTTCACAGCTTAAGTCTTAAGTTATTTCTAAAACCAGTAATAATCACATGCAGAGACAATTATTCAATATGATAAAGAGTAGATACATTTATATAGTTTGTCAGATACAACTGGCCCTTTGAGGGCAACCATAATGCTGATGTGGCCCACAATGAAATTAAGTTTGATACCCCTGCTCTAGGGGGATGCAGAACCCCTAACCTCTGTCTAGAGCAGGGGTGGGCAAACTTTTTGACTTGAGGGCCGCAATGGGTTCATATATTGGACCCGGGGGCCGGACCAAGACTAGATGAATGATGTGTATGTGTGAATTAATATAAATTAAAATTTTACTTACCTTTGCTCCGCGCGTTCCTCTCGCCGTGTTCCCGCGCCGTTCCGGTCTTCAGGGCGGACTGTGAGAGGAGCCTAGCTCCCCTCACATTTGTCATGCTGCCCCGCCTACACACATCCTGACAGCCAATCACTGGCTATCAGGATGTGAGTGGCAGCGAGACTGGCCAATCATTGCATTTGAGCGCGCTGAATGATGCAAATGTTTGCCTGCCCTGGCTGTTTTTTTTTTGTATCACGCTCCGCGGGCCGGATTAAAAGGTCCGCCGGGCCATATACGGCCCGCGGGCCGTAGTTTGCCCATTGCTGGTCTAGACAGTGCTTATTGGCCTTGTGCTAATCACATGCACTCTCCCAAGAAAAAAAACAAAACACCTCTAGCAATACACACCAAACTGAGCATGTGCAGAGTGTCTCCACACAAAATGTCTTATCAGGAGATAAGAGGGGGACACTGGAAAAAGGGCAGGGGGGAAATCAGAGAAGTCTGGATCAAAATAGCTTTTTTAAATAATGCAGAGGATTAACTCCCTAGGTTCCACAGTGAGTAGAACAAGTATGCTTTACTGCATATACAGACTGATTTTACCTTTGTGGGTTAGTAATGCTTTAAAGGGGCTCATGTATGACAATTGTGCAATTAAATTGTAGTGTTGCCCACAGTAACCAACCAGCTTCCAATTGGTTATTCTGCAGTCCAGAAAGTAAAACAAGGTTTCTGACTGGCTGCCATTGCAATTGCCCTTGTGGACAATTGTACCAAAAGGCTGTTGTAGAATTGGGAATATTTTAAATATTTATTAAATGGGAACTTTATTGAATATTGAGTAATAGCATATCAAGAACAATGTTTCAGACGATGGAATAGGAAATGATACAGTTGCAGAAGACTGATATAAAAAGAATACCTTTACACCCATTGATCATATTGTGAATGATAAAATAGATACCCGAATATAGGCCATGCTGGCCTTGCCTACCTGTCTTTTAAGCTACAAGCTCTTAAGGCGGTCCTATTTTCCTTGCTCACCTGCTGCTTATTTCGAATGTCTCACTGACTTTAGTAGGGAAGCAAGGTTAAAGTGGCATTTTATTTTTTTTTATGGATCAGCATTATTAAAAATAAAAGCATTTTTTTAAAAAAAGAAATCTAGGTATGGATATTTTTACATATTTACATTGGTCCATCTTGGACCAAAGTACCTGTCCATGTACCATACCTGTGAGATCTCTCTAGAACAGGCATCACTAAATGGCAGACCAAGTCACTGTCCCAAACGGACCCATTCAGTCCTGCCATTTAAGAGCCTTTTCTCCCCCCTGTCTCACGGTCATCCTCATAGAGCGGACAGTGGGAGGCAGGACAATTCTGGATAAAGGGCGGGAGCTGCCCGAGGTTAACAAGCAGGTGATTGGTTGCTAAGATAAAAGACAGTCCTATCAATCACTGTCTGAGTAAGGTAGGACAGTGGGTGGGGGGGGGGCGAAGTTAAAGGGGCTAAGGACATTAGTGTGAAGGGGGGGGGTCAAAGACAGTAATGTGGGGACTGTGGTGTGTGGAGGCTGAGGACATTAAAGTGGGAGGGGCTAGGACAGTAACGTGGGGGGGGGGGGGCACTGAGGACAGCAATGTGGGGGCTGAGGACAGCAACATGGAGGGGTCCGGGGACAGTAACGTGGGGGGGGGGGGGGGGGGGGGGGGGGGGGGGATGTAAAAAGTGGCAGAGAACAGTACTGTTTGGGGGGGTGGGGAAGGGGGTTGATGTGAAGGAAGCTTCCACACTACTGTGGAAGGGGTGATGTAAAGGGTGATCTGAGGACACTCATCAAGAGGGATACTGCTGTGAAGGGTGGGGGGGGGACAACTGTGATGTGCAGTGGGGATTGAGGATGCTGATGTGAAAACAGGTTCAGATCTATACATGTGCATTTGGTGCCCTAGTTGTGGATAGGTCAGCACTACCTGCTAGAAACCTGGAGAAGTCCCTGCCTTTTTTTCAAAATAGCACCACAGCAACACGTGGTTTGGTGCACACAAAAGTGCACCACAGGGGCCTACATGACATTTGGACCTCTGATGCCTGTAAATTTTACTGCCCGAACCTTGGTGAATTTTAATTCAATACTCCTGCTCTAGAAGCTGAAAATCACCCCTATTAAAGTGATCTCCACTTGCTTCCAAGTCCTGTGCTGAGCAGCTGCCCTGCTGCATTCTTAATACAGAAGGTTGCCTGCTGGGCATGGGTGCCTTTCAGAGAAAACTTTGCATTTTCTCTATGTATTCAAAGCATTCTCTGACTGGACAAGGTGGAGAGGCAGAGTGGTGGCATCACACTGTCCTTGTCCAATCAGAGAACTGATAAAAGGCAAAGCATTGTCTGAATGGGGCTTATACTGAGCAGCTGTCCACCTGAGTTAAGAATGCAGCAGGGCATCCCCCTGGCACAGAACCTAGAAGCAAGTCAAGATCACTTTACTAATGGTGCCTACTAAAGCGATTTCCATCTTCTACAAGGATCTGACAGGTATGCATTACAGGCAACTTTCATATTTCTACAGATAATAAGGTTTGTAATTAGTGGTGCACTGAAATGAAAATTCTAGTGCCAAAAGCGAGACCGAAAATTCAAAAATGCACTTAACTGAAATGTGCAGATTTTAAAAATGAATATATATTTTTTGGAAAAAAAATACACTGATTAAAAAAAAAACGAAAAAAAAAACAATATATACCCCAATTTTTTTTGTAAAAATATGAAAGAGGATGTTACGGCAAGTAAATAGAAATCCAACATGTCACACTTTAAAATTGCACACACTCGTAAAATGGCATGAAACTACGGTACCTAAAAGTCTCCATGGGTGATGCTTTAAAAATTTCTACAGGTTAGCAGTGTAAAGTTACAGAGGAGGTCTAAGTATGGCCTAAGTATGTGTTCACCACTACATGCGAGCATGGGGGGGGGGGGGGGGGGGGGGGGCACTTTAAACTTTTTTTTTTTAAATTTATTTAATGTTTTTGTTTTTTATTTTGCACTGTCGCTTTAAAAACATTTTTAATCACTTTTAATCTTATCACAAGAAATGTATGCATCCCTTGTAATAGAAATAATTAGTGCCAGGTCCTCTTTATGGAGAGATATGGGGTCAATAAGACCCCACATCTCTCCTCTACAATGTAAAGCATTGGATAAAAAAAAAAAGCATTAATCTAGTGCTTAAAAAAACCAAAAACAAAAAAAATGGCTGGAGTGGGAAGTGACATCGCTCCGGTCCTCCAAGGGCATAGAGATGAGTGCGGCCATCTTTCCTTCACTCAACTCTTTGCCCAACGCCCGGATCGATGGTTTCTCAGGTAAGGCTGAGAACTACCGAGCAGCGGCCGGTGGTGGCAGGCAGAGTTTTTTTTCATAATTGGCCGAAAGGGGTGTTTTTTGGCCGAAACGTTTTGGCCACCGAAATTTGTGCATCCCTATTTGTAATATTTCTCATTTCCCCATTAAATTGGATATCCTTTACTTCCCGTCCTAGTAATGGTGGTCTTTGGGATGGAAGAATAAATCAATAATGGAGACATTATAGCGCAATAAGAAATATACCTTTTTTTTTTTTAAATTACCCTCATTTACGGTCTCATAGACAATGGTCATCGGTACAGACAACAATAAACACCTGAGAGAGGTCCAAAGCCTTTGCCACCTTAGCAAAACTAAAAATTCAATTTGGCTCCTGAATGTGTTACTGTTCCCAGCACCGCACACATAGGCAGAGTGAGAGGGACAAGCTAAAGCTCTCTCCTGCTCCTCCACAGTGGTGGTTGACAGCGAACAGGAGCACACATGTACTGGAGACTCCAGGGGATGCCATAGGTCCCAGGAGGCAGAGGGGGCACCCACATGCCAGGAGTCAGGCAGGGCAACCAGGGGGTACTATGAGGGGGAAACTCAGGAGTATGGAAGTTCTGCTAATAGAAGCCCATTTACCAGAAACATAAAAACAAGAAACAAAAAAAACTTTAATATCAATTTAAAGCATTATTAAACTCAAATGTTTGCTTGTATAAGGGTCTGTAAAATGGCAATACAGCTGTGTTATATGACTGTTTTACATACAAAGCACTCCTATGTCCTTTGAGGGATCATCAATGCAATTATCTATGAACAGATCAATAAAAGCAGTGAACATTACCTTTACAAACTCAACATTGAGCTTCCCAGTAAAGGTGGAGACTTCCCCTTGTACACTCAGTTTACCCTTCCTGATGACAATTGGTATGATTTCATCATGTGCTGTACTGTGTCCCACACGGTCAAATATATCCAGGTCTTTTACCACAGTATGGCCATTCACACGTACATCGAACACCTGAGAGTAGCAAAATGCAGAAACATGAGCCGTCACTTAGTGTCGCACACCTGCACAGACAAATATGCCATCTGCTGGGCTGTCATGTCACGCCTTGAAAAGGAGGGGACAAGTAAGGAACACGACACCCTTACCTTCTGCTGGGACTGTGCAAAGTAGACCTCTGCAAATTTTAACACCAAGACGTACTCTCCTTCTTCCCTTATAGGGATCTCGTATCCAAAGCTGTCCTCATTATAGCGCTCAGTCTGGTACAGAATCTGATCTTCAGTATTTGACCGTAAAAAATTGGCAATTTCAATCCATAGTCTGATGCTAAACAACAAATAAGGAAAATAAATCACTCTCATGCCCAGAGATCACAAATAATTCTGCATTTGGAATGGTTGGTATATGAAAATAACACACTTAGAAGAGTTTCCCATTCCTGATGCTAACCACCAGCATCAATGAATGGTTTGTGCAACAGAAGCTCCATGCTGCTGACAAGCAGAACAAATGACAGGAAGTACGATCACTTGCTCCGTGCATGAATTACTTCGGTCTGTTCGTTCTACAGATGAACTTCCTGATCATTTGTAAAGCATGATTCCTGTTTTGTAGAATGTTAAAAGATAAATTTACCTTTGTAAAAATAAATAAATGCATATCTTTTTGCAGATACAAAAAAAAGTGCATTTATTTTTTTTTTTTTACTAAGAGCCTGCAAAGCATTGCACCCGCGATCATCAGATCAAGGGTGTAATACAGGACTCCTGCAGACAGTCAGTGTATCTATCTGTTCGTACCTTGTAAGGGCAGGCAGTTACACTCTGCAAGGAAGAATCAATGGACTACCACAGTGCTCAATAGTGCCATGGTAGTTCATTGAGAAAAGCATTGCACCCACAATCATCAGATCAAGGGTGTAATACAGGACTCCTGCAGACAGTCAGTGTATCTATCTGTTCGTACCTTGTAAGGGCAGGCAGTTACACTCTGCAAGGAAGAATCAATGGACTACCACAGTGCCCAATAGTGCCATGGTAGTTCATGGAGAACTAAAAGCTGACAGCCACAAAGGCTGTCAGTACTTGTAGTTTTCCATTCGCGAATGAGTGAAGCAGCCAGGTGGGCGGAGCCCCGCATGGCTGAGTTTCTTTTTCTTTTTTTAAATAGTGACAGTGAGTTTGGGGAGAAGGTCCCCGACTCCTGTCACAGGGAGGCAGCAGATCGGGCTGCGGCTGCAGGAGTGGGAACATGTTACATGTTCTCATAGGTGAAGTTACAGCAGGGTAGGATCACACACATTACAATCTGATTGTACAAACTCCTTGTGATCTACTAACAAGTGTGTAGCACAAGGGCCTGACAGATCCAAGTGTGTCCTGATATCACAAAGTTTTCGTAAATCTAAAATTGATATTATGGTTGGATTGCAACATGTAGGGTTACCCAGAGCGTAGATTTAGACACGTGCCTCTCCTCTGAAGAGTGATCCACGTTCTGATTACTTTTCAATGGCAACCGACAAGTGGTAAGGAGGTGATGTGAAGCCTTCTCACCACCCATGTTAACCAAATGGTATTTTCGGCACTTACCGCATTTAGTGAACTTGCCACCTGCTGATCGGGACACCTTGGATAGTTTTTGCTGCAGGCGTGAAACATCATGACCGTGACATATAAACATTCCCTTCCACTGTCATTTGTGGCTTAGAGTGGAGTTCCGGTCATTTTTGTGTTTATTAGAAGTCAGCAGCTACAAAAACTGCAGCTGCTGAAGTTTAATAAACACACACTGACCTGTCCCAGGGTCCAGCGATGTACACATCCACACCCTCATCTCAACTGTGGGCACCAGGCTGTGACAGCTTGCAGCTTCACACCTGGGTTCCCACTGCGCATGCGCAAGTCGCGCTGTGCTTCCTGATTGGTCTGGCAGTCTACTGGGACCTATGAAATGTCTCAGAAGACTGTGGGAGGAGAAGGTCCAAACTTCCAGCTCACTTCGCCACAGCAAACTGAGTCGGAAGTGGGAGCGGGTACCTGTCAAAACCAGGTACCCGCTCCCCCCCAAAATGTGCCAAATATGGCAGTGGAGAGGGGGGAGGAGGCAAACAAGTGGAGCTTTCCACTTTTTGAGTGGAACTCAGTTTTAATAGGAGAGTGGGAGCAGGAAAAAAAACTGCAATTTTATCGCCTCCATCTGCACATCTAATGAGGCCTAAGGCTCACCACACACTTACGAATAAACTTTATACAAGAACTATGAAATAAAAGGACACACCTATCTATCCAATCTGTCTGGCCCTTGGACTGCATCGTTGTTGGCAGATCTAAAGAAGATTGTACAATCAGATGATTCTGTGTATAGGGAAGGACACTTATTTTATTGCACAATCCATGTGAAATTTGATAAAAATTATGGAAACAGATTGAGCCGTTAAAAATTCCCTTCCCAACATGGAGCTGATTGACTAGGGAGGAAAATGATTGATCAATTGGCAGCACCAAGGTGATTTGTCATAAATTGGATTGTATTGGTTGGATTGTGAGGTTGCCTGATGGAATTTGAGATATAATTGAGAACTTTTGATTGTATCTTCCAATTATTGACTGAATTGCACATCCACGTGTGAGGCATATCGGTCGATCGTCTTGTTGACTATAGGTGGATTATCAATATGGGAACAAATGTATCAAAAAAGAAATTGATCGTGTATGGTGGATCTGTCTTTATGGGTGTGAAAGGGATCAGGTTGGTCTCTCACACCCTTTCATTCAGCATTGTTCACACTCCAAGCCCTGTGCTAGTGATGAGCTGTCACCTCTGTATAGGGAGGTTCCTGATGGTAGGGATCCCCTATGGAGGTGTCTCCCCAGATCGTGCTCCGATCACACCCCCTCCTGTCATCAGTCACTCACCTCTGCCTACTCTGCCCTCCAGCGGGTCCTTCCGGTAGTGGATGCCGTGCACGTCTACATGAGCATCGCCCCCGGCATTGACAGCCCAGATCACTTTGTCCCCCATGGCGGCTCCTTGTGAAGTGAGCGCAGCAAGCAAACAGCAGAGCAGAGCGGCCACTGGGGCCCATGTCACCGGGCCGGGCATGTTTCCGGGTGACACCCCACGCCTGACACAGGACTAACGAGGAAGCCGGACACTGTCAGCGCGGCCCCGTCTCCCAGCACTCTCCCCTCACCGGACCCAGGCGGCTAACCCGCTCTCCGCCGCCGCCAGCAGCCCGCACATTTCATTCACTCTCCCCAAAGGGACAGCCGAACATGATGGTGCCGGGCTTCAAACACTCATTGCGCCTAGCCTGACTCGCTGTCCTTGTCCGGATTCTGATTGGTCACAGGAGACAGGGCGGGTGGGGCTTCGAATAACACATAGAACACGTGTCCAATCCAAAGGCAACGCTGGTTTCTAAGGCGGGGCCAAAGTACGAAGTTTGTCTGAGTCGTGGAAACCGGTTGGTCCGGTTGCAGGGTGACGGAAGTGGAGAGCGCTTCCGGGTAGAAATACCGTGTGTGAGTTATTACCGCTCGTTACCAATTGAACTACTGATATTCCTTGCCTGTCCGGTCGGTCCGCTCGGATAGAGAGCCGAAATGTCCGGAGTAGGAAGTCTACACGGCTCAATTACATCAACCAATCAGCGACCTCCAGCGCGGCCTCCCCGCCAGGCATTGTGGGACAGCTTCAGTGTACGGGATGCTGGCAGGCAGGAAGCCAGTCGCCATGACAACGACCCTGAGTGTATACATACACGTGTACCATGTGCTTTTCCAGCTGAGGGACCTTGACAGCCATGAACGCGGAATTCATCGGCTGAAATGGAATCCGTCCGACGGGTAACACGGCGGGCTGTTCACCGATTCATGGATCTGTCCTCTTATTTCATGGACATTCCTGCACAGTTATCAGGACAGAGACGTGGACCTGCATTCCTATATTTATAAACATTGCTGCAGTGTAAAGCCGTGCTGATGTATCACTGAGATGCTGCAACAGTTCCACACCAGCTATAAGGCTAGGTTCACATCAAGCGATTTCCAAAAACGCACTACAGTCCATTTCACATGATTTCTTATGGGACACATTCACATCTCTGTGTTTTCACCCGGTGCGGTTTTTGGAAAGGGTCAGGGACTTTTTTTTAACGCAAAAAGTTGTGTTTTTGGTTCTATAGAATTCAATGGAAACGCAGAAAAGCATTTAGCGCCTTTTTGCTGTGTTATTTCCTCTGACGCATTTTGTGTTTTTAATCTGACTAGCAACAAGAAAAAATGCAAAACGTGTAAAAACACACAGAACGCACCGCAAAACACACTGCAGAAAAAGATCAAATGCAAACTGCATAGGTGTGAACCTAAACTAAGGCCCAGTTCATACTAGTGTGGGCTATGCAACCTGCGTTTGCTGAGGCATGGCAAACCAATTCTGTGCCCCATGTCCTGCATAAAAAAGCTGCATGCGCCTTTTCAAAATTGCATCCGCAGGGAAATCGCATAGTCTTCTTGACCATGTGGTTTCCCTGCAGTACCCGCACCCGTGATCGCACTGCGGGCTGAGATGCGTTGGGATGCCATTCAGAATAAATGGCAGCCCCGAACATCTCTCAAGAGCAGCACAATTCTGCTACGGCTGGTTGCAGGTGCAATTCCTGTACCTGCAACCAATCTATGAGCTAGTATGAACCCAGGGTAAGCCTCAGTTCACATATATACGAACGTGGATGCATTTTGTACTGCACCAATTTGCATGATGCAAAATGAAAAAAAAATTTTTTTTGAGGATCCCGTTTACATATGTGCCCTCCCCCCCCCCCCCCCCACCTACCCCCCCCCCCCCCCCCCCCCCCCCCACCACCCCCCTAAGGGACCGGCCGCAGTGCTGTCTTTAACTACCTGCCGACCGCAGATAGCCGAATGACGGCTGCACTGCGGCCGGCCAGTTTTGAGTGGACGTCATATGACGTCCTCCCAGAACGCGCTCACCGGCGCGCACCGGCGATCTCCGTGATCGCTGTGTCCTACGGACACAGCTGATCACGTGATGTGGTAAAAGGCCAATCACAGCGGCCTTTTACCACGTGATCAGCGGTGTCCAATGACACGCTGATCAGAGGGAAATGCAAGTGCCGGTTCTCGGCTGCACTTTCCTCACGCTGTCAGATCGTGAGGAAAGTACTGCCGAGAACCGGCAGTTGTCAGAGCGGGGATTGGCACCGATCATCAGGGCACTGATGATCAGTGCCCTGATGATCGGTGCCCAGCAGTGCCACCCGCAAGTTCCGCCCACCTGTGCCCAGCAGTGCGCCCACTAGCTCCGCCCACCTGTGCCCAGCAGTGCACCCACCTGTGCCCAGCAGTGCACCCACCTGTGCCACTCTGCAGTGTCACACACCTGTGCCCAGAAGTGCCACCTACCTGTGCCCACCCACCTGTACCCACCAGTGCCACCCCACCTGTGCCCACCCATCAGTGCTGCCCACCAGTGCAGCCCAGCAGTGCTGCCAGTCAGTGCCCAGGGGTTGTGCCAGTCAGTGCTGCCAGTCAGTGCCCAGCAGTGATGCCAGTCAGTGCCGTCTATCAGTACCCATCATCAGTGTCGCCTATCAGTGCTGCATATTAGTGCCGCCTATCCGTGACACCTCATTAGTGCTGTCTATCAGTGCCGCCTATCCGTGCCACCTCATTAGTACTGCCTATCGGTGCCCTTTAGTGCTGCCTATCAGTGCCTATCAGTGCTGCCTCATCAATGCACATCAGTGAAGGAGAAAAAATACCTGTTTGAAAAATTTTATAATAGAAACAAAGAAACTTTTTTTTTTTTCAAATTTTTTGCACTTTTTTTTATTTATAGCGCAAAAAGTAAAGCGCCCAGTGGCGATTAAATACCACCAAAAGAAAGCTCTATTTGTGAGAAAAAAATGATCAAAATTTCATATGGGTACAATGTTGCATGATTGCGCAATTGTCAAAGTGCGGCAGTGCTGAAAGCTGAAAATTGGCCTGGTAAATAAGGGGGTATAAGTGCCTGGTAGGCAAGTGGTTAAAAAGGGTCCTGTGCGATTCCTAGTGTGGTGAGTGCGCAATTTCCAATCTGATACACTTTAACAATTTGCATCAGAATTGCACCAGCACCACATAAACAAAATCGCACTAGTCTTTAACCCCCCAGCGGTATTCCCGAGTGTAGCTCGGGGTAAAGTTTTAGTACCATAAGCGGTAACCCCGAGCTACACTTGGGCTTACCATGCGGCGCTGCTCTGGGATCCCTCGATCACTTACCTTGTCCTGCGCTCCCGCGATGTCCCTCCTGCAGTGTCCCCGGCAATGTAATCCGGCGGATGCCGGCATCTGTCATCTGAGTTCCGTCCCTGCGAGCATCGGGATGTATGGGGGACGGAACAGCGGGAAATTTGAAAATGACAAAAAGTGACATTCACTAAAATTACATAGTAAAACATTACTGTATCAAACCATTTCACATACATTTTGTCCCGAGTGCTTTGTCCTGCGCCCTGCCTGCATTTTTACTGTTCTTTCTGCCTGGAAACTGAGAAACGTCCATGACGTCCAAAAAGTGTCCCTTTATGTCAAAAGTGGTTTTAGACCAGCTAGAGAACAGCGATAGTAAATCAGAACTACTTGCAGAATTGAGTGATAATGATTCGTGGGGAAATTCATCATCAGACACTGAAAACGATTTTGTGACTTTGCTCAGTGATGTGCGAGCTTGGCACTATATTTCAAATTTCAGTGTTTTTGGTTTGATTATATTATTGAATTAAATTTATTATTATATTATTATTTTTTATGATTATTTATTAAATTATAATTTATGATTTCGTGTTTCAAGTTTTATCCTACCCGGGATGTTTACTAGACTCTTGTTCGGACAGATTTCAGTGAGTTATTCCTAAAAATTACAGGCCTACAATAAAAAAATGACATATTTCCATGCAAAAAAATTACCGCTTTAAGCACAGAAATATGGACATAATCAGACCGTTAGGGAGGTTAAAATCGCTCTGCATTCCATCTAATGGCTAGTTCACGCCATATCTGGACATGAATCATACAGGAACACACTGTGCGTTCTGGTGCGATTCATTTTGAATGGTCTAAAATTGCACTGCACCGAGGGTAGTGCATGCACTACTTTTTAAAATGCACTGCAACTGGATTGCATGGTACAAAAGTACTGTGCAGTCAGGTGCGCACTCCATTTGCAACCTGCATTTGGGGTGTCATTAACTTTGTATTGCAGATTGCAAATGGAGTGCGCTTTGCATGGAGTCTGAATCTCACAAGAACACACAGCTTGTTTCTGTGCGATTCATGTCCAGGGCATGATGTGAACCGGTCCTCAGCCAGAGAACTGAGCGTTCACATGAACACTGATCACTTAGTGGAGAACAGTGACTGTCAGTCTCTGCTCTGCTAATCCAGTGCTCACTGGAGAAGGGGAGGGCACAGCTGGCTCTTGCTCTCTGCTGCCTGCTGAGAGGTGGAGCCAGCTGCCAATCAGGCAGTTGGGTGGATCCTGACAATAAGGTCGGGATCCTTTCAGAGCCTGGAGCAGCTCTGTAACATCAGCTTATAGCAGGCAATAGCTTGCTTTAAACTGATTCTGGGTAACAGGAGAACAAAATTATGTGCACTTGTGTGACTCACAAGAGTGGCCAAAAAACCTCTGTCCATACTTCTTTTTTAACAGTACGAGAACATGTACCTGTACTCTTAGAGGCTCACCTTATAGGAAGAGTTAATAAAAGCACATATTTTTGCAGAAAAAAATATGTACGTGCTTTGAGTTAGAAAGCTGGAGGAAGAGTGAATAGACTACAAGTGCACTGATCATTACACTCAGTCCATTGAGAGATACAAGCCATCTGATGTGGTGGAAGACTGGACTTGTAGTTTATACATTCCCATGAATGAATTACCAATTATAAATGTGACAGTGGCTGCAGGAGAGATAGTTTAGGTTGGCCCTCATATTACATAGTTTTGGTAAATACAAAGTTGATTGTACAGTCAGATTGCAACATGTATGGTGACTCTTAGGCTGATGTTAGGCAATTCCGCCACTAGCAATCCTGCTGCTAGCAATGTGTTGAAGACGCCAGTGGCAAGCTCGCTAAGTTACTGCCTTTTTCTCCCTATGTAATCGCTCTATCTGTAACAGGCAGCAGGGTGGCACTCCCATTGTTGGCTATTAAGATTTTGTCCTATTAGGGCCAGTGGCAGAGCAACATCTCACTGCCTCTGTCTACAAAGGGAATGACTCCATAGGGACAAACAGATAGCCTTTTTAGTAATGCTGCTGCTGACAGTTTGCCTCCAACTGCAGAATTACCTGTTTGACATCAGCCTGTTTTATGAACTATCTCTCGCACTTTTTCCCAGAAGTTGATACATAAAAAATACTGTGCCCTCACACCTTGAACTGACCTTTTATTTTAGGTCTTGTTCCCAGAGGTGGCTGGGGGCTGGTAAAAACAGGTGGATGAGCTGCTGTTTTCCCACCCCTGACTGCCCACCAAAGAAAGAACACACAGCCGCCTCCCTACTCACCAGAGGGTTCGGACTCTTTAGACCTACAGCTGTAAGAGTCTTAACAGATTTGTGTATTCCACATCATCTCATTTCACAAGACTTGGTTCTGTCTGTACTCTACAGCGGCCACTACTCCTTGACGCCCACCATCAATGCACCATGCTGAATATGCACCAAGAACAGAGGGATCCACCATAGCATCATTTTAAAACTTAAAAATTACATTAATGGTTAAATGCACTCACTTGTAATACAAGTATCAAAGCAATATAGAAAAACAAAACCCAGAAGTACATCCTCGGCATGAACTCCATGGACCTGATGTGACATCACCTGAACCAGAAATTACATTCTGCATGTTTCGCTTGCCCAGGGCCTCTTCAGGTATAGTACAGATAACCATTTCTTGTAACCTGAGATGATGTGGAATATACAAGGCTGTTAAGACTCTTATAGCTGTAGGGCTGAATGGCACCACACATGCTGCTCAGGTGCCACTAAGTTTCAATGACACCTAAGGCCCCTTTCACATGGGGATCTATCCGCTGGTCTCCGCTGAGTGATTCTGCCCCCGATCCCAAAACGCTGTGCAAAAATGACAAATCGCGCCACGCATATTCATTTTCAGTGACACCTAAAATGCAATGTGGTTCCTCGCTGCAAACCTCACGGCACAAAGCTTGTTGCCCAAAAGGGAGCAAGAGCTTCTTTTGGAGCGAGAAGCTTTGCACAATTGCAGTGCGATTTAACACTCTAGAATTGCACCGCATCTTATGCCCCTTTCACACAGGCAGACTGATCAGTGAATGGTCCAATCAGGTCCACCGGAAAAACATACAGGTGGACCCGATCGGACCATCTATTGCCCTCTATGGAGCGACGACTGTAAATGGACATGTGTATGTTGTTTATGTTTTATGTTAAAAAAAAATAAAGGAACACTTTTTAATCAGAGTGTAGCATCAAGTCAATTAAACTCCTGGGACATTAATCTGGTCAGTTAAGTAGCAGAGGGGGTTTTTAATCAGTTTCAGCTGCTTTAGTGTTAATGAAATTAACAACAGGTGCACTAGATGGGCAACAATGGGATGACCCCCAAAACGGGATGGTTTTACAGGTGGAGGCTTCTGACATTTTTTTTCCCTATTCATCTTTTCTGACTGTTTTTCACTAGTTTTGCATTTGGCTAGGGTCAGTGTCACTACTGGTAGCATGAGGCGATACCTGGACCCTACAGAGGTTGCACAGGCAGTCCAACTCCTCCAAGATGGCACATCAATACGTGCCATTGCCAGAAGGTTTGCTGTGTCTCCCAGCACAGTCAAGAGCATGGAGGAGATTTCAGGAGACAGGCAGTTATTCTAGGAGAGCTGGACAGGGCCGTAGAAGGTTTTTAACCCATCAGCAGGACTGGTATCTGCTCCTTTGTGCAAGGAAGAACAGGATGAGCACTGCCAGAGCCCTACAAACTGACCTCCAGCAGGCCACTGGTGTTAATGTCTCTGAGCAAACAATCAAACAGAATTCATGAGGATGGCCTGTGGGCCCGATGTGTCTAGTGGGCCCAGTACTCACTGCCCGGCACCATAGAGCTCGATTCACATTTGCCATTGAACACCAGAATTGGCAGGTGCGCCACTGGCGCCCTGTGCTTTTCACAGATGAAAGCAGGTTCACTCTGAGCACATGTGAAAGGTCTGGAGAAGCCGTGGGAAACAATATGCTGCCTGCAACATCGTTCAGCATTTGGTGGTGGGTCAGTGATGGTCTGGGGAGGCATATCCATGGAGGGAAGCACAGACCTCTACAGGCTAGACAATGGCACCCTGACTGCTTTAGGTATCGGGATGAAATCCTTGGACCCATTGTCGGATCCTACACTGGTACAGTGGGTCCTGGGTTCCTCCTGGTGCATGACAATGCCCAGCCTCGTGGCGAGAGTATGAGGGCAGTATCAGGAGGATGAAGGAATTGATACCATTGAATGGCCCCCACACTTGCCTGA